TTTTTTCATTGTGATTTTTTCTTGTTTTTATTTTATTTTTTATTTTTTTTACTTTTTTTGTATTTTATATTTTTTTTATAATTAAAATTATATAAATTATAATCTATGTTTAGAAAAGTAATAATATTTAATAATACTCTCTATTGAATTTTCAATAAATGAGTACTATATTATAATATTATGTAAGTAAGAAATGATTTCATAATCTCATTTAATATCATTCTTAATAATGAGATCAAAATGAAAATGTAACTAAGAATTCAAATATATTCTTTATCTAAGACTAGATTTTTATTTGAAAAGTGAATCTGAAATCTTTAATATTTGAAATAATGTGATTTGAGATCAATGTAATGAATATAAACTATAATTAGAAGTAATACTTTTAGATGTTATAATAACTATAAAGTTTAATTCTGATCTTAGACACAGTCACACAGTCAGTCTAGTAACAATTAGATACATGTAATAATAACTTCTCAGCTCAGAAATATAGAGTGATTTATTAAAGTAATTTATACACCTCTGTATTTTTTAGAAATCTGAGATGCTTAAGTTCTGAATTTAATGTATTCTCTGCAGGTTTTGAATTCACATGCCTTGGTTTCTCATGTCAAGACGCTACTGAGTGGCCGCATTAATCATTAAGTCACCGGGGCAATTGTACTGAAGTATTCAGCTCAGAAATAATTGAGATATGAAGAGAGAGCTCATTTATTCAGATTAACTCTTATCACAAATTCATAGCATTTATATTATCTTAATTACTCAGATTTTACAGGTATCTAAGAACTTATCTCTTATTAATAATAAGATTACAGAAACACACTGCAGTATAAGAACTGTTAATAAAGAATTTAGATATACTTATATATATCTGATCAGAGATTATATAAATAGAGAGAGAGTGATTATAAATCTGCAGAGCTGCAGAGAGTACTGACAGTACTAAGAACTTCACAGAAACTATTCACTAGAGTCTGTAAGAATCACTTACAGAGAGACTTATAGTAAAGAGTGAGACTATACTACTGAAAGTCAGAAACTGATCTAAGAGAGATACAGAATTAACTACTGATTTAAAAATCAGATATAATAACAGATCTGAAAAGAGTGAAAATACTGTTATAGATAATAATATCTCTGCTTTATCAGCTAATAAAAAGTAATCAAAGAAGTTGCAGAGATACTTATAAAAAGCTTAACAGTAGTCAGACATTGTTTATAAAGATATTAAAATTGAAAAAGATACTTATAAAAAGCTCAGCAGTAGTCAAACATTGTTTACAAAGATATTAAAATTGAAAAAATTTTTATTCTTAGAAAGTTCTTGAATTAATATACAGATATTGTTAGAAACACTCTCTCTCTATTATCTAAGTAAAAACACTTTATAAATAAATAAAGATACTCATAGTTTATAAGAATAAAAGCTATTAGAGAAAAAGAGAAAAGAAAATAAGATTTTATAAATAGATCTGAGATATTTATACTACTCTAGAGAGATTTATTTACACTATAAGTAATTTCATAAAATAGTCAGATTACTCTAGTAAATAAAGAATAATTATAAATTACAGATCTGAATCTTTCTATATAACTATAAAGAGTGATTATAGATTATAAACATCTTGATTCTATAATTCTACAGAGTTAATAAAAGAATGAAAAATTTCTTATAACTCTATAGTATTAAAGAATAATAATTTATAAAAATAAGTGAAAGATTAACTTATAAATACTTCTCTTTAATAAGAGTAATCTCATAGAAAGTAATTTATCTATAAGATGAATCTGTATAGCAGTCACATAAAAATCTTATGAAAAAATGATTGAAGATTAACTGAAACTCTTCAGATTGAAAGATACAGAATAAATCTATATAATAATTATATAAGAATCTTATAAAAATAATTGAGAGTTAACTGAAACTCTTCTATATAAAAGATATAAGATGAATCTGTATAATAGTTAAAGAAAGATCTGCAGATTATAAAGAATCTTATAGAATAAGAAAGTAAGTGACAGACTCTTTTCTCTTTATAATAATAAGAAATTTTTCCTCACTGAGATTTTTTATAGATATGAAGAGTTTTTAATAAGTATTACTACAGTACTGAGGCCCGGTGACGTAGTGATTAACTACGCTATCATGAAGCCTCAATTAGCGGCCTTTCTCTCAGGGAATGAATGTTAAGAGAGAGCAGGTTCAAACCCTGCAAGAGTCATCTTAATCACAGCTTTCACTGTTAAGTTATAAAACAGTATCAGGGATTCTCAGATGCACTATAGCAAATCATCATCAAGCTTAACATATTCATCTCAGAGATTCCCAGATACTAATTCTCACTGATCTTAGAATTAACAGTCTCTCAGACACTTCAAGTTAGATCAGTACTAGAGTGATTGAGGTCTAGAGTGTCTGTAAAATAGTAAATCATTATCAAGCTTAACTGATCAGATCTCATTTCTCTCACTTTAGACACTCACTTCTGAGAAATAAGATTTAAAAACTATCTGATTAGAACACTCTGAGTCTAGTAAGAATCTAGATGAGACAAGACCTAGATATTCTTAATAGATGATTAGTGTAAGCAAGACTGTGACAGTCAATTGATAGATTGAAATACTGAGATTGACAGCTGGAAGATTAGAGACTTAACTAGAATTAAGTAGCTCTGATATTATTCTTAGTAAGAATTTCACTTATAAATAAGCTAGTTACAGAAGCTAGCTGAGTGACAGCTCTTTCAAGAAAATGATAATCTCTGAAGCAGGCCTGAGAGGACAGAGACAGCAATCAGTTATATAGAGTGTTAAAATATATATATCACTTAAGATATAAACTGCAGAGATCTTGTTCTGTAGCTCTCTTTACTTTATCTTTTTCTTTCAATTTCTTTCTATTTATCTATTTAATATGTCTATCTTTAAGACTGTATTCTCTTTTTCTTTGTCATGATATTATCAAATGATTTCAAAGTATCAGAAGATGTTAAAATACTGTAATTTGTAAACAGTTTTTGTATTCTGAGCTGAAATTTTCTGATTTTATATATCTGAAATTGATGAATGTATAATAGTTAACTTTACAGATATAGAAAAAACTCTGAGAACTAAAAGTTCTCAGATAGATGTTATAGTCTCTGACTGCATACATCTATAATTGAAGAATAATAATAATAATAATAACTACAGTACTGAGTCTGATTCTATGAAATCACTCAGTGAAAGACTTCACAGGTGAAGTCTTAGAGAGAGAGAAATATATAAGAAATCTCACTTCTTACAGATTTTTTATCTCTATTTCTATCTCTTGTATAATTAATAGAGTTAGCAGCTCTTGACTATATACAACTATATAGACTGAAGTTCATGACTACTATAGTACTATTCATAACTTAGCTTGAATACTATTATATATTTAATCTTTACATTTATCTTTCTACTGTGAATACTTCTAGTAGTTAACAGTACATATTACGCCAAGCTGTAAACACTTAAACAATCGCCTGCGAGTACTTATTCTTACAAATATAAGATAGAAGATCTGATATAATTAAATCTTAAAAATATACAGATTATATACTTATCTTATACACTGAACTACTATTATATTAAATACAAAGTGATAGAAGTTCTAGACAGCTATAACTACTGTTTTAACATATTATCAGAAATTTATAATATCTTTTATATAAGCTTACTCTGCTGTATTATTACTGACTTATTCTCTTCTTAACTAACTTTTAACTGACAGCTGTCAGAGATTATAGAAGAAGATAATAAACTTGAATAAGAAATTAAAAATATTCTTAATAAAAGATCTTATAGCTGTAGTTAATAATATCTTATAAAATAAGTCAGTTATAATTATCTGATCTGAACTCTGAGCTCTGTATTATCTAAAATAGTAGCTCTTAACTGATAAGAACTATACACTTATAACTTTATCTCACTTCTGAAAAGAGAGAACTAATGTAGCAGGCTATATCTGATTAATAGATTATTTTATTACACTTTATAAATTTCTGCTGAAAGCTTTAATTCTCAGTTACTAATTCTCAGTTGAGAAACTTATAAAGTTTCTATTCTTTCACTCTGAAGTTTTATCTTATATATGTATAAATATCTGCTTTAATCACTGATTCTTATACTTTCTCTTTTATTTTTCTTCTCTAATGTTTTTCACTTTTATTATATAAGACCTATATTTTAATACTAATCTATTCAGTGTAGATCTCTTACAACTCTGTAAATAATAATAATAAGTATTTTCTACTGTATTTAATTATTATTTAATTTACAGCAGTAAGTATTTATTCTTGATTATAAACTTATTAAATGTTTAATATAATCAATGTATATTTATTATTCTTTATTAATTTTCTTTTTATAAATAGAACTGAGAAATCTTACATACTTAATAAAGATTATTTAAGATCTTATTTTATAAGATCTATGATCTATCATTTCTACTCTTTGAAATATATTTGTGACAGAGAGTACACATTTTAATTGACAGAGTTTGTATTTTCTGTATTGATTTTATGAATGAATTCTCACTCAGATGACAACTCTGATAAAAGCTCTGTTTGAAAAACTTTTCTATACTTGTTTAAAAGTGTTTTTATACACTTGTTCTTCTGTACATTCTTTGACTTGATTTTTTTCTTCACTTCTAAGTTTCAGATAAGATCTTGTGAATCATTCTCTTTACTTATTAATGTGTAAGCAGATTTAACTCTTCTATATCAGAGACTGCCGCTTTCCACGGTTTTCTGGCCTGCAGGCCCAGGCGGACGGCAAACGTTCAGGAAATATTTGTCAATCTTGATATACAAGTGCTTGACTTTGACTCCACTAACAACAGAGAACAATATAGATCCAAATTGTTATAACATACAAAGAAAAGAAAGATAAGGATTAATTAAGATGGGTTGGAGGACTTTTGGCACCATCCGTGCTTGCATCCAATCAAAGTGCGTTCTGTCACCATTTTAGCCACTGTATCCAGCAGCTGTTGGCATGCGGAGAACACGCCCTGAACGTGAGCTAGGGAGGAACCTCGATTCTTTGCCTACCTTCTCTGCACCAACAGACTTAACCTCTAAGAAATCAAACTTCTTCTCAGGCAATAAGTCATACACACCCTTTGCGTACTCGGGGTCCATCAGATACAACTGCGCCAGATACTTGTTCTGAATAACAGGATAGTCTACCAAGCGAAGAACATCGGCAGTGTTGCGGTGTAGATTATCTCTCCCTTTCGACGTCACGACTCGATAGTAAAAGCTCGCGGGGCTGTTAGTATTCAAGCCCTCATGGTAGAAGTGCGATTTGCGTCCCACATGGTTATCGGCTGTCTGATACATGGTTTCAGCGGCATCCGGGCGGAATTTGTTCCTGAAGCTATTCGGTGCATAGTGTGGGTTCATGGCATGGTTGGCATCTACGCGCATCTGCCCGTCGAAGTTCAGGGACGAATAGGATTGCGTCATGAAAGGGCAGTTGACAGGTATCTAGTCAAGGTTGATGCCAACACGGTGGTACTGCGCATCACGGTAAAAGAACATGCGGAACTGCAGGAGTTGGTCGGGACTATCTTCAATTCTGGGACCCATGCTTCCCGGGGAAGAGGCGGGTTTTGCTCAACGTCCCTATGGTAGTTTTCGGGATTTTTTGTTCAGAACAAGCTTGCCGAATTCGTGCATCTGGAGATAAAGATGTGAACTTTATGTTATGTTTTGCTAAGTGGAGAGTGGATAGAATGCTACTTACCGGAAAGCGTTTCCGGGGCCAGACTTTTGTCACACCAAAGGGAGTAAACCACAGCTTCGCAGGATCGGCTTCCTCTGGGTTCATTTTCTGAACATGGGCAGCCCATGAAATCTGCTCTCCTTTTTCAATGGTGGACCACAAATCACATTCTAAGTAATCTGGATCTACATCACTCATACAAGACAGCTTCATCTCAAGTGAACTGCTGCTGACCATGATCAGCAAGGAAGTGATATTTGATGTAAACAAATTCCCCCTTCTCATTTACCCTCATGAGTGTGAGTACAGGATCAGATTCCTGAAGAATGATGCAATTCAAACATATCATTTTAAACTATGACAGCCACAACCATCCTGATTTTTCCAGCTGTTTAGAGTTCCATGATTGCTGAAAAAGATCATGCCTGTGTGGTTCCTAAACACCAAATCCGCCAACAGTGAAGGACAAACACCGCAAGGCAAGAATCTATCACACTCACCCTTCCAGGGTGTTTGCCAAAAGATCAAACACGGGATTATAATCCAAAAGGAAGTTCTGAGAATTCCATGATTGGGAGCGGATCACATCCAGCCCCTGAATGAGGCCCCAGCAACAGAATACTGGCTGCAGCTTGATAAGCTTGGATCATAATCACTTACGCCCACAATATCGTAATTGCCCTCACCAGTGTAAAATTTAATAGCCATACCTCGAGAGTTTCTACCGGAATCGGGAAATTCTCGCCCGAAGGTGGCGGTGAAAAACCTCATGAAGACAGGCATCTTCACCCCACTTCTTCTCAAAAAGTGTTCCTAAAGAGCATTAATTATCATGGGACTATCAGGTATGTGAAATGATAAATACTTACCTTGCACACTGATGACATATCCTTTGTGGTCTTGAAATAGCCAAATGCTCTGTTGCCACCTGGAATGACAGCTTGTCAACACTTTAGGTTCTTCAACTGATTGAAATGTTACTGCTTCTTCTGGAGAAGAAAAGCGTCTGAAACTAGTGGAAGCCATTCAGTGCTTTTGCTGTGTGCTGGATTGGGGAAAGGGGCTTCTTTGTTAATAATGAAGTATGGTGCATCGTCTGCTTGTTTTCCACCTTGCTGAAGCCACATCAGCTTTGCAGTGACTTTGGCCGGACCATCATTGGCTCCCTAGAACAGTGAGCTGAGTTATTGACCTCTTGGATCAGCATCTGCAGCTCCCACAGCAGTGCCAATCGCTTGGAGTGGATGATGAATGAGATAGGTTATTTTGAATACAATGAACATTTCTTCATCTCCCTCAGTGTTGACCCAGGGAGGTTTATACTGGCCTGTAGACACATCTCTTCTTTATCATTGTGATCTCAAGACAACCTTGAGTTACCAGAATGCTTGCAAAAGTTGTCACTATTAATTTGTAGCCCAAATAAAGAGAGTAATAATAGATTGTAAATAGAATCAAATTTATGGTCTGGTCAGACATGAGGTGTTTTCCTTGTTTTGTGAATTATTGTTGATAAATGTCAGTCAACTCCTTCATAGGGCCTTGATTTTTGAACCTCATGTAAATGTTTTTTGCCAATTAAGGAATAGTTAGCTAGTTATAGCCTTAAGCCCCTAAATATTGAGAATGTAGGCCAAGCAATTTTAACTTCAGTACTGGAATATCAACATAAATTTGAAGCATTTACGAGGACTTCCTCACCTCTGGAGTTTCAAATACTTCTTATCTCTCTAGACTTGTGATATTTTTAGTCTTTTCATTTGATTAACTGGTTAGTTATAATTTATGATGGTAGACGGATTATTAACGGGCCATAAACCTTTAGGAATTTGTAAGGTTATTCAGCAGCATGCGTTGCACCTGTACTGTACAACGGTAGTATACAGCACAGGATCTCTTAGAATGCTCCAATTTATTTTTAAATCAGTAGGGTGGTGTGAAACGCAGTATGCGGCCACAGGTGGAACTGGTGATGGAGACCTCAGACTTTGTACGCTGTAAGTTGTCCCACGCTACATAAATCTGTCGCAGGAGGAAGGGTGGCGTCTCAAGATGCTGCTGGGATGCCAGCGGATCACAGAACCCCGAGAGCCCTGAGGAGGAATATAACTCCTCCTAGCTCAGTGATTCCAGGGTATGTCAGATGGCTAAAAAGGGAGAGAGGGTGGGTGACAAGGGCTACTACGCAGCGTATACTCCGTACATTATTAACTATTAATTAATAAGTCAGACAGACAGAAACTTGCGAGCGCATTAAATACAATACACAGACTTGTTAGGTGGTGAGGGTGGTGGGAAGATCGGTATCAAGGGTGTATGGAAACCGTATAATCCGTACTGGAGGGCACCCCCCCGTGCGGCAGATACGCGTATCACCTTTGAGACCTCCCACTTTAGGACTCCCCGGTGGCGTAATTTTGGTAACCCTGGGTAATAATAGCTGTACAGCGGCCTGTAAGGAGGTATTCTGCCCAAACTCGCCGCCAAGCCGCCCCACCACGCTTGTGCAGACAAACCTCACTCAAGAACTTCATCCTGTCCTCGACTTTTGTCGTCTGCGTCTGCCTCCTCTTCAACTTAATTCTCTTCTTCTGGATTATTCCCTCTCCATTCTTCTCTCATCTTCTTGTCCAGGAATCTCTCCCTCCTCTTCTCTCTCCCTGCGTTCCGTGTGCCTATCTTGCTGATACCTTGATATCTCCTCTGCCAACTTCCTTCCAAGTTCAGCTGGAGACCCCTCTCTCCCCCTTAAAAATTCCGCATTATTCCAGATTTATCCACCGCAATCATGGGGAGCTACACTGACGTCGACCAATTGGCCATTAACACCATCAGAGTGTTGGCTGTAAGTAATATCTGTTGTCTCCTGTCAAATCACCCTCCAGTTTCGCTGTCAGAAAATGGTGGGGTATCAGCGCGGGGTTGAGATAGCCATATATACAGCTCTGATATCTCGCCCTCTACAACTCCCCTCCTATCAATTGCACCCGTTGATTTTTACAAATCCACTTTGCTTTCTTTCTAGCTACGTGGCGAAATTCCTTCCTCTTCTCTTCGCTCCATTGCTAACGTATGTGTCACTCGTTTTTCTCACCTTTAGGTTGATGCCACATCGAAAGCAAACTCGGGCCACCCCGGAGCTCCAATGGGTCTGGCACCCACTGCTCATGTCCTTTTCAACAAATTTATGACCTTTAATCCCAAGAACCCAAACTGGGTTAACAGGGATCGATTCGTCCTCTCGTACGTCTTTTCTTACTTTTTTTTTCCACATGCCCCGCGCAATGCGCCGTTTGTTTCCGCCCCTCGTTTCAGGTGTTGCTCTTCTTATTTTGCGGGGCATGAGATACCTGGCCACTGTGGATCACCACAGAGTTGAGATTTCGTTGAATGAGCGCAGAAACTTTTTTTAATTGCGCTGGAGCCCCTAACAGATGTTATGCCCACTTCCGTTCCGGTCATTGCGTCATTGCGCATTCCTTGTTTCGGAAACACTTGCGCTAACATTTTTGAAAATCCTTTTTGCGGATAGGAACGGACATGGTTGTATGCTCCAGTATGCTCTACTCCACCTCTTTGGGTATGCTGTCTCGTTGGATGACCTGAAGGACTTCCGCGTTAGTGGCCCCCTGAATTGCCTGATAATTAATCCCTGAGTAATCCCGTTTATTGACGAATTCCGTGCAGAAAATTGATAGCATTACCCCAGGGCATCCTGAAGCTCATGATACCCCCGGTGTTGAAGTAACAACTGGACCTCTAGGCCAGGGTTTCGCCAATGCCGTTGGCCTTGCCATCGCTCAAGCTCATACTGGTGCCGTGTTCAATAAGCCTGGCTTCAACCTGATCGACAATTACACCTACTGTATCTTCGGCGATGGCTGCGCCATGGAGGGTATTGCCAGTGAAGCGGCCAGCACTGCTGGTCACCTTCAACTGGGCAACTTAATTTGCTTGTATGATGACAACCATATTTCTATTGGTGAGTAAACGAAAAGTGTTACCCTCTCCCCCCTCCAAATAAATAAATAAATAAAATAGCCCAAACTTGTACTCACATGGTGCTCTATAATAGATGGCGATACCAACGTGGCATTCACTGAGGATGTCATGAAGAGATTTGAGGCATATGGATGGCACACAATTCATGTCGAGGATGGCAACCATGACCTCGCTGGCATTGAGGCTGCTATCCAGAAAGCGAAGCAAGTAAAGGATAAGCCAACCATCATTAAAGTCACGACCACCATTGGCTTCGGCTCCAAGCTTCAGGGAACCGGTGGAGTCCACGGAAACCCCCTGAAAGCCGACGACAGCCAGAGTGTAAAGAAGCTCTTTGGGTTCGATCCTGAACAGAGCTTCGTCGTACCCCAGCAGGTCTATGAGCTTTACCAGAAGAAGGCTACCGAAGGCGCCGCCAAGGAGCAAGAATGGAATGCCCTTCTCCAGCAATACGCATCCAAGTACCCTACTGAACATGCCGATTTCGTCCGCCGTCTCTCTGGAAAGCTTCCTGAAGGATGGGAGAAGCATCTTCCTAGATACTCCCCAACTGATGCTGCAGTTGCCTCCCGCAAATTGTCGGAGACTGTGCTTGAGAAGATCCACGATGTTATTCCCGAACTTTTGTCTGGCTCTGCCGACTTGACTGGCTCGAACAACACGAGATGGAAGAACGCCGTTGACTTCCAGCCACCAAGCACTGGCCTCGGTGACTGGTCCGGCCGCTATTTCCGCTATGGTGTGCGGGAACATGGAATGGCCGGTATAATGAACGGCATTGCCGCCTACGGAACCCTCATCCCAGCTGGCGGTACTTTCCTCAACTTCGTATCCTATGCCGCTGGCTCCGTCCGCCTATCGGCACTTTCACAAGTTCGCACAATCTACATCGCAACCCACGACTCAATTGGTCTGGGTGAGGATGGCCCCACCCATCAGCCCATCGAGACTCTCGCCCACTTCCGCGCCTTGCCGAACATCATGGTCTGGCGCCCAGCCGACGGCAACGAGACAAGCGCTGCCTACTACTCTGCTTTGACCTCGCGACATACTCCCTCCATCCTCGCTCTGACCCGCCAAAACCTGCCACAGCTCGAAGCCTCAACCATCGAGAAGGCGATCCGTGGTGGATACGTTGCCCTAGAGACAGAAAACGCCAACATTACCCTCGTTAGCTCTGGGTCCGAGGTCAGCCTCTGCATTGACGCCGCTAAGTACCTCAAGGAGAAGCACAACATTGTTGCTCGCGTCGTCTCCATCCCCTGCTTCGAGGTGTTCGACGTCCAGGACAAGGAATACAGACTCTCCGTCATTCCGGACGGTATCCCCTCTATGTCCGTTGAGGTCATGAGCACCCTTGGCTGGGAGCGATACTCGCATGAGCAGTTCGGCCTCAACCGCTTCGGTGCTTCCGGCCCTTACAAGGAAGTTTACAAGGTGAGTTCCGAAAAAGCATTCTGCACCTAAAAAATCTTAAGCCCCCTTCTCTACATTAGCTTTAAAAGAAGCGAAAATAACTAATATATCTCTGCGTCCCTTTAGAAATTCGATTTCACCCCCGAAGGTATCAGCAAGCGCGCCGTCGCCACCATCGACTTCTACAAGGGCTTCCCCGTCCGTTCCCCCATCAACCGCGCCTTCCAGCAAATCATCTAAGCACATATATTTATAAACTCCGACCTCTATTCACCAGAAACGTCTCTTGTGGGTGAAGGGTTTTCAATGAAGTTTATAAAAAGAAAAAGACAAGGCATACAAGACTAAAGAGAAGCGATGTCTTTAGACGGCAACATACACACGCATAGTGAAAAGAGGGAGAAAAAATAAAACACAAGAGATTCCTTTTTTATTTTTTCCGTTCGCTGAACTAAAAACTTAAAGTTTTCCATTTTACCCGTTCCTATTCCAGCATTCTTAACTCTATCCCCGCGTCATCTTGCAACCCAACCCCATGGTTTCCACACTTCGTTTTTGTTGAATTTTCGAGTTTCATAGATCTATTTGTCACGGTTCTTACATGATTCAAAATGAAAAATACAAAAATTGGTGTTTTTTATTATTTATTGCTATTTATATCTTACGGATGTGATTGCTCTATTCGGAATATATGGTTTGTAGTCGCTTTGGAGAAATATATGTAATGTACCCTTACCACGGTCTTATGTATTGGTCATAATTACCTAGGTTAAACTAACCTCAAATCGGGCGACTAAGCAAAGATAGGTAGGGTAAGATAGGATAAAACCTCTTGAAAATGAATTCCTAACGCTCATTAGTTGTATTATTGTGGACTGGCTTTTTCATGTTTCTTTTTATTTATTTTCTTTTTTTCTCGACTCTCTTGGTATCCGCCATGCATTCATTCCCCCTTGCAATCAAATGTATGTGTACCAAGCCCAGTTCACTGCGGCCCCTCCCACCTCATATTTCCTTGCCTATATCCCCCGCTAGGTATTACATCTCACCTACTCACCCTACAAGTGTATCCCCCATTAATTAAAGAACAACATCTTAAAAAAGAAACCTGCCCTCGCCCTCCTTTACACATCCAACGCCTTCCTCGCGAAATTCGGCAACACAAAGCTCGCCCGGTGGATCTCCTTGTTATAATAGCGGCACAGCTTCTCCTCCTCCTCACGCGTCCAGCTGCGCACGGGCTCGCGCACGTCCCGGTCCTTGTCCTTGCAGCAGACCATGAACCCGATCTGGCCGGACGGGTAGGTAGGGATCGTCGTGTAGGCATACTCGACCACGGGGAAGATCTCGCGGATGCTTCGCTTCAGGTCTGTGATGAGAGAGAGGTGGAGCCATTGGTTTTCGGCTGTTGGGGGGGAAAAGATAGGGATAGCGGGGGGCGTGGGATTAGTAGTCTGTTTATGGAAGGTTTGGGTGGAGGTAGCCTTTTTTTTTTTTTTTTTTTTTTTTTTTTTTTTTTTTTTTGGCTTTGCGTGTGAAGGGAAAGGGGGGTGAGGTGGTGTGGTGAAAGGGGTGAAAGGGGTGAAAGGGGTGAACTGGGGTTAGAGGTGGGTAAATAAATAAAACCCCCTCCCCCTAGGGATATAGAAGGGCAGTGTGTATGTTGGTGCATTTTTAAATTTATTTCTTCAAAGGCAGTAATCACACGTGCAAGAAGGATTGGGGGAAGGAGATCGACGAACAACCTTGAGTGGTAACGACACCGCCTTCACGCAGCGCGTTGAACAGCAGCTCGAAGTATGGTTTCTGGAACAGAGCCTCCGCAGGACCCTCTGGGTCGGAGCTGTCGGTGATGATGACATCGAATTCGTTCTTGCGATCTGCGAGGAACTTGAACCCGTCGGCCACATGAACCGTTACGTTGGGATGTTGGAAGCCAACGCTCATTCCGGGGAGGTATTTTTTGGAGACGCGGATGACGGCCTGTATTTCGTCCGATATAAGGGTTTTTGTCCTGGCAGCTCACACGAAATCCACTTATCTGCATACATACCTCATCGATGTCACAGAGCACAGCCTCCTCGACGCTCTCATGCTTGACAACTTCGCGCAGGACACCTCCGTCACCTCCACCGATGACGAGCACTTTTTTGGGGTTGGGGTGGGAGTTCATGGCGAGATGCGTGATCATCTCTTGGTATCTAGTTAATTGGCTAGAGTTAATCGGAGAAACCACATTTTATAGGTAGCGGAGAGGGAAAAAGAGGGGGGGAAGGGGGGCAACCGCCGTTTGCTGGAAAGGATTGGGCGTCCGTCTAACAGCAACATACGAGAATTCATCACGCTCTGTGCATTGGATGACATTATCCAGCACAAGGACAGTGCCGTGGTCGCTGCTCTCGAATACCAGGACATCTTGGTATTTGGATTTCTCATGGTGAAGAATCTGATTGACTTTCAAGGTCAATGCCTGGCCTGGCCACATATCGGAAACCTCCGAGAACCAGCCATCTAATTCAATTCAATTGAATTCATAACTCCTGAGTTAGTTTGAAGAAAAACGAAGACCTGTAAGCCGCTTCGGTACAGCAAATTCGTGGGTTGGGTGGGAGAGGTTATTGAGCCATGATGATGAGGCAGCGCACCTTTGATAGTGGGGTGGGTGAGTTCGCTCATTGTGCGTTTTTGCAGGGTGGTAAGAGGACGAAAGATGGAGGGAGTGCAGGAGAGTAGACGGGACGAACAAGAGGTGCGGAACGGGGGTTTATATAGGCGCAGCGAGAGGGGTCTGCGGCCGCGAGATGGCATGCGGAGGAGGAAGAGGAAGAAGAAGAGCGAGGTCTGAAAGCAGAAATTAGGGCTAGAACTTTTTGGCTTACCCCGCCATGACGAAAATTACACGAACTGCAGAGCGGTTACGGGGAACGGTGCAGTGTATCGCGGTATTGTATGGTATTGTATGATATCCGTTTGCGTATTCCGCCGTTTCCACTATAATCTATTGGACATCTTGCGATGACATGAGTGTATTGTAATGACGCCCGGTATGTATCTGTACAACCCCATACATACGAAAGATCAATTTGACAAGAGAAGATTCTTCTCAGTATCAAATACTTTGCTGAAAATTGAATCTTTAATGAGTCTTGATCAAAGGGACTAGGGCATAAACTCAATATCTGAAGGAAGACCAGAGGCCTTGCTCTTGTATCCTCCAGGGCTCTTTTACCTGCACTGTGAGATGGATTGTGATAACCGCTCAGTGCTTCCAGACAATGGACATGTTAGTACTGTACAACACCTATACTCTTTCTGCTCCCTAGCATCACAGCATCACAGCATCACAGCAGCAATCTTTTGTATCTGGTGGGGCACATGAGATGCTCTTCCAATTGAGCTGCAAGCCTGAGGTGGGACTCATACCCATGTACCGGCAGCCAGCAACCAGCAGTCAGCCACCAGGATGCTCAAGAAGTTTCCAGTCTCAATTGCAATAACTTGGATTTCTTTTGCCTCTTCTTTAAAAAGAAGAAACACATATAATGTAACTACTATGTAGTACATTGTTCTGTAGCAGCGGGGAAGTCCGATAGAAAAATGAGAAAACAAGAAAACAAAATCAATACATCTACAGCTCAAGTCTGCGTCTACAAGGGTTTTACATATATTAACAGCACATGAGCCTCTGGCTAGAAGCAGTGCAAGATTGTGGTGAAAAATATCTGCGGAATTTATGTACTCAAACGCAGATGAGGTGGCTGTAATGATCATTGAGGGGTGGGTAGCATATCCATCCCCCTTTAGCCCCACACAAGACAACCATGTGTGCTTCCCTTTGACAATTGAGATACGCTTAAAGGGTTCGCTTCCATCTCTTGGCTTCTCCTCAGGGGTTTATGATTTAGAAAATATAGGGAGTGGAGAATAAATGTCCTGCCGGTATCCTTGCAATGCCTATGACATGTGCATGTGCATGTAATGTACCGCAGTACAATATGTTCCCAAAGCTGAAAACGGAGAAGGTCAGAAAGACATTCCTTTGTAAATCACCTTACAAGCAGCATTCTGGACAGGGCGATAGCATATCTACCCTAGTTCACGCATTAAATGCCCCTTGTCATACTTATACCCGCATCCAGCAAGCAACCTGTCAGCTGGCATATGATAAACACATGCCATTTGGCGATATGAGCTATCATTTTCTTTGAAAGGGACAAAAAAGGAGTGTTGACAGCATTTCATCACTCATTGGATCTGCTGATGTTGTGAGATAATTCTATTCTATGACACCTGAGGTTTATAAGCCTGACTTCGGGCTATAAACACTCCTCGATATCTTAGCTAAGAAAGAATTCCTTCCCTTCTACCGGTCGAACGTGTAATACAACATTCATAGCTCACTCAAATAAAATATTCCCGCAGAATCTGATGTATAGAGAAGAAACTGCATCGAAATTTACGCGACGATAGTACGAAATTCACTAGCGGTTCTTCAAGTGACGCATTTACGTTACTATAGCACCTCTATTAAGCTCATTGGCTCGAAAATGGCGTGGTGGAAGAAATGTGCAGTGTGACACGGGAGAAGAATAAGAATAAATATAGTAGAATATAGCTGTTGCACATGGGTATGTCCAGCTCTATCAACAGTGTTTTACAACTCTCAGTGACTACTTGTATTAACTTTAAGAGAGCAGAGTACAATAGGGTTAAATCTGAATTTAGAAAAAAACGGTAATAGGTCGGAGAAAATGTGTAATTGTGGATTATTGTTGAGTATATGGAATGGAAGGGTGAGAGAGGCGAAGGGGGTTGAGCAGTGGGAAGCTGCGGGAAGCTGCGGGAAGAGCAACCACACCGCGCCCGGAAGGGGGCCCCTGGGGTCGGGGGGCAGGATAAAAGGAAGAGAGGCGGATTGGATTGATACTTGATGTACATTACGTTTAGCATACCTCTGCTAGGGGTATTGATAGCGGGGCTTGAAGGATGCGAGACCAACACGAGGGGAAGTATCTATTTAACATTGGGAACGGTAGGTGCTGGCTCATGAATTAACTCCCCAGGCGACGAACGATACTATTTAGCGGCTGACAGTATTCATAGTTGGGCAACGGAATAACGTCTGACAAGCCGAGACCGAAGCGAAGGTTATCTATGTAAGGGACCTGTGGCTTAGTGAGTGTTTCCACAATCAAAAACTATATCCAAAATCGAGGAGAATTTCTGAGAATCGTTCGTAAGGTTTGCAGGCATGTCTGATATCGGCAACCAAACCGTTAGGTGGAATTGTACTGTACAAAAGTCAGGTAGAATTAGCGTATTATTGTAAACGATGAAGTATGTTGAATAAATCTCCTTCGCAACATAGCGAAAGTGCTCTAGTCAAGTAGAGCCAAAACGTGGTCGAGAATCTAAGGCAGGTAGCGGCTACTGGCGTGAGCCCCCAGTGCCAACCGCTCTTGTTTCATGGTCTATCCTACGAGGGCATCATTTCCGCATCAACAGGAAGCTATAACCGTCACAACTAGAGGTCCAGGCTTTGACAACGATCTCCGCGACAGTGTGCTTTGGTAGTAGTTTAGGCAGGAAGGTTTTGACCCTGGAATGGTGGAGGTGGAGCCAGACCAGCGAGGGATCCAGATGATTCTGCAGTTACTCTGATATGCACGGTGGGCAGTTGCCTGCATACGTTGCTTTAAGCTTTTTTACTGAGTTGCGGTTGCTGTGTTCTGCACGGGCGGCTTTAAATAGTTGCAGAATACATAGTGCTTGGTCATTGCCGAGCTGGGTCCCGATGTCAGTCGGGACATCCCACGTTGCTGGGCTACGGCGTTCGATCACCGAAACTGGGCCGCGACCTTGGGACCTCCAGATGGTGTTAGTCTCGGAGGTCGTTCACCGATTTCTGGAGCCTTGGTATCGGCTGCCATTGGTCCCAGTGAAATATTTGATCCTCTGCTTCCCGAGAGCCACATCGAGGGTTCCGATGTTGCGGGTAATCTAATGCAGCGTGGATCACCATGGTTGCCGCGAAGTTGTACAGCTAACCTTAACTTTGAGTAGATGTCTCCTCAAATCAATGGAGCCATTCCTGGTTTAGTTAACGAATCAGATAAGGGAATTCCGATCTGGCAGTAATCAAGTAAGTTACCTCGGTATCTACCGCCCGCAGTCGACCAGTAAAGTGGTGTGATGGCTGCTGGACGGATGGCTGCCAAAACTAATAGATGGATTCTAAGATGCCCATTACAGGACGGAACAAGGAATCACGAAATCTCGCACTTTCTAGGGCCAGAAGTCCTAAAAACTCTAATAAACAAGACAAAGTTTCGTGTAGTCAAGCAAATGGTGGCATGATTATCATTCCTCTCAGCTGGTCAGTGGATTGCCAAATATTCTGAAATATTTCTTTCGGTTAGCCTCCTGATCAGTAGAATTATCAGCGACGAAGCTGCTGATATTATTAAAACGCCTAGACTTTCTCTTCGCAAACCTCTTCTGATACCCATAAAAATAAAATAGTAACGAGGCTCGATACGACCTTACTATTGTAGCCTGTCAAATCATGAAAGAATCGGAGGAGCAACAATCCCCCGCAGAGGTGGACAGGTGCTCGCTTCGTGTCACCCAGTAATCAACTGGGCTTACGACGAGTCAACCTTAAAACCCCGTAACATAGCCACCAACTCTTCCCTCTCGGCTGTAGGTGGTGTCAGCCGTCAAAGCCGAGCTCGCATTCCGGAAGTGGGATGCCAGACCGTCACCACCCTGCTGGGTGATCGACACTTCAAGGCCAGAGAGACCCAGTCCTCCGAAGTGGCCTCAAGGAGGCGAACTCTTCCAAGAAAATTTACGAGCATAATGAAAGCCATGAATCCACCCTGTATAATGGCAAATAAGATTGAGGGTTTTCCGGCTGCTATTTTCGGGGATTGGGGGATGCCCGCCCTCGTTTTGCGGCTGAGGATAGGATCCCTGTTTGGTCTGGATGATATGGAAGCCGGATGAGAGAGTGGCTAAAGTAATGTTCCATTCAAGTTAGAAACGAAAGGATAGCAGCGTCATATTTTTGCCGTGGTGGGGCGAGGATTGGATTGATGCGAGGAAGGTGTTGAGATACACGTATTATTATTGTTGTTGGCGGCGGCCATCCACGCGGTCAAGCCAGTTTAGCGCCAACTGTTAGGGCTGATTATTCATCAAATAAGCTCGCGTGGGACGCTATTCCGGAAATAGAATAATATCAACTTTCTGGAGATGTGATTGGTTCTAACTTCACGCCAAGATATTTTAATTTGGAAGGTTAGGTGGGGGCTGTGGGCCACTTATCAGGCTTCTGGTTGGCTGACTCGATCTCCACTCCGCTGCGACGGTCAAACTTTGGTACCTTTCAAGGTTATATGTTAAGCGTATATTAGGTTGTCTCAACCTCTTATCACGAGTTGGGGACTTTAAACACTGCCTAAGTCGGAGCTGACTGGGGGCCTGGCACCTGACAAGGACAAGGCGACTTGGGTAGGTAACTTATTGCATTATTAAATTGGTGTGCATTAGGGATTGGTATTCTAAGAACTTGTGCAGGATATCAGCGGTATCGGACTGCAGTTATTGGCGAACTTTGCAAGGCCTAATGAAAACATAAATGAAGTGCTTGAAAACAGGGAGCGGTCAAGCCTAGGCATAAAGGAGCAGTCTCCAAAATCTTCGTAGGAATACACATCATGCGTCAATTAAAAGGTAGCTAATTCGGACAATTTCAAAACCACCTACATTCCGTAGACGAAAAGAAGGAATAACGAACTACCCTGTAAGCGCCGAGCATGTGTTCTATTTACAAGCAGAGTCCCAGACGAAAAAAAATAGAATAGAAATAGGAATATCATCAAGTCATCCCAATATGCCGCTCCCTCACAAGCCATCTGTTTCTATAAACCATCGGAGTTAGAGCTGTATTCCCCTTGATCGCTATTCGTCTTCAAAGCCTCCTTATCAAAGTAATATTGCGGGCCGGAACTTGACATTGTATATGGCACGATATCGAACTTGTCTGGTGTTAGAATGTCGTCAATCGTGCCGTCCGTCGCTGATCTCAGCAGATCAAGCTCTGCGGTTAAATTTTGAATGCGAGAGTTGAGTTGCTGTACTTCTTCTGTTCGCTGGTGGTAGGATTGAAGCAGATTTTGATGTTTGCTATGAAGATCATGTAGCTTGCCTTCGAGGCTTTTAAGGTGTCTTTCCTTTCTTTCTCGAAACGCACGTTGAGACGCTCTATTTTGAGCGCGCCGCCTCTTTGAGATTGGAGATGTGGTTAGCTGTAAGTCACTGAATTTGGGATATCGAACGTTATTGAACATCAATGCTTACTAGGTGCATGTTGGAAACATTTTCCTTGTCTTTAGAACTATTTGGTTTATTTCGTCGCCTATCATGCTCATCAAGTGTGGTGGAACCAATATATTCTACAGGAATCTTCCCTGCCATGGGGTCATAGTAAGGCGCTGAATCGTTGCCAAACGGAATCATGTCATAAGGAGTTCCCATGTTTGTGTATATCGAATGTGTCATGCCCTAAATTCATTCATCAGCCAAAATCCAGGTGAAATGTAAGATTGAGGCAGGCCTACGCTGGGAGATGTGGGGCTGGATAGATCTGAAGCAACCTCTGCTGGTCCAGCGTTGAAAGGAAGCTGTAATGATTCAGGGGAGTGGGGAGGAGAGACGGCGAATCTGTAATCCATTTCCAATATGAATGAAGAATACCCCTGGAAGATTCGATTCTAGCACGAATTCAATATTGGTATGTAATTGTAGGAGCAATCACCATTCTGGGTGATTGATTGCCAAACAGCATGAAATATGAAGGCGACAATCGAGGTTCAAACATCTGAAGGGGTTTGTCTCTCTATAATATAAGCAAATTTCTCCACAAAACCTTCCTCGCCATTTCTAGGACAACCCCCCCCCGCCACCCTCCTACTATCTTGATTCCGAAGATATCACAGCTCATATCGACTCTTGGCCCCGAGCACTAATAAGGCAAAGAAACTACGTGCGCTGAGCGCGCTGTCAGCGATATTTTAGTGATTATTGGCAATGACTCGCTTCCCGTGAAAATAGCAAGGTTTACCAGGCGCATACTAAAAGCTCTCTCCGGTTCGTATATGCCGAGTGGACGATGAAAGAGAAATTGGGCGATATAATTCGAACGGATGGCATTGGGTCATGTCATGGCGCCTCGCTGCTGAGTGATGCTATGCTGTCTGAGGAATATTTTGCGCATCTTGCCCCATGTTCCGCCGCGGAATAAGCACAATTGAATCACCCCCACCCCTTCATACAAAAACCAGTTTAGCTGCGCAGTCTCGAGGTGCGCAATGCCCGCCTTGAGACAAGCTTTCAGTCCCATCAACATAGGCCTATAGAGAAGAATCCTCTCTGTACACGGAAACACACCGGAAAAGTCAACAGGGGGTGAATCCCTAGCTGAACCTTGGACATTTCATTATTTTGTTAACTATAACTCCTTTTACTTGGCCGGTAGTTACAATGACGACCAAGCTAAAACTACAGATTAGATCGGATTGATTTCGATCCATCCTGAAAAACGCGAATGACACTCCTCCGTTTCCCCTCCATTTCCCTCTTTCAGAGTATCGGCGCGGTGCACGACTATTGGTTGAGATAATAGTTTAATGGATATTTATTGGCAGAGATATCCACGCAATTCTGGGGGAAAAAAAGGGCGGCGGGAAGTTTCTCTTGTGATTTCGGGACGGTCATAAATCTCATGAGTCTTCTATCATCGACCACGCCAGGAGGTGATTTGGCAGTCCAACAAGGCTAGCACCGCTTGCCTGTTGCCACTCTGCATCGTATCGCCATTCCGGAGAGGTGTCGGCCGCCTTTTCCTAGCTGACCTGGGTAGACTCGAACTCCAGGAATTGAATGTGAGCCCTCGTTTGTCTCCCTTGCTTGCTTTTATGGAACTTGTTTGTTTGCCTCCCACTGTTGAAAAGCCCTTGACAACTACCTGGCGTGCAGCGTGAATAATCCGCTGGGATGAATATGAGGACTAAAGAAAATGCACCAGCTGATCCGCCCCGCATTCCCACCGCAAATCGTTCTCTTTCGTGCTATTATTATTTCTGCCGTGGTAATCAGAATGCATGGAAGAAAGGTTTTTAGTCTTTCGAACTGTTCACTTCGAATGATCGCGAGTCCTATCTTCCCGTTTGGCGTGAGGGTTAGTTGGGCAGAAACTAACCCCATAGAGCCAGGCGCAGCATCGGCCTCGAGAAGATATTGGCCAGTAGGAGCATGCAAAAGCGAATCGCGAAGTTGCTGGTCATTTTTGCCTGGCAGAATGCTGAATTGTGATTGGCAACATTTATCACTTCCCCTTGGCGTAGGGCTGAACTTGGGGTATTCAAGTACTCCGTAGAGATCCTCTTAAAATAGCCCCAATTTCCATGCGTCACGGCGGTTATTTCCAGCGGTGAGCGCTTTTGGCAGCAATCCTCTAGTTATCCCGAAGCCCCGGTCAAAATCATCGGCGTTGCGGACGCTATTCCAAGGCGACCATCACCCGACCCTCTCCCTTTTTTCTCTCATCCCTCCCTCCTTATCTTCATTTCGGGAGAAGTCGAGTGGTATCCCAGCAGAGCAGCTCACCACCAGCATCAATCTGTAGTTAACCGTTCCAGCATACATAACTACACGCTTTTCTCTCTCCAGCAGTATGAGGTAAGCACTGGGACGCATATCTAGCGGATGCAGTAAGCAGCCTATAATTTAGTCAGCCATTCTAGACATGAGAAGTGACCAATGCCACGAGGAAAGGCATCGGCGTCGATACACCCCAAGGATACGACAGCGGAACCAGGCACAGACAAGATGATTAGCTACCAAATCATTTCTCAAGGATATGCAGAATGCTGGAGCACAACGATAGTGATCGGCGTCCTAATTGGCAATTTTGCCGTCAATGCTCTGTTTGAGTTTAAACCAGACGAAACACCGGAAATGTGTACAGACGCACGTATCTCAGACCAGCAATTTTAACGAAACTCCTACCGAGCTAACAAGCCCAGCCTTGGAACCCGGGGCCAAAGCATTTTGTGGATAAATATGCCGGTGGCCCCCAAACAAAATGATACGAACATACTTTTGGGCTAGTGTTGGAAAATGAGTTTATTTTGGGCCAAAGGAGGGTGGGTGGCCCAGCGTGGCCGTCCTACCATGCTGTCTTCTGCCAGTTGGGAATTCATCACCTAAGGTAGACCATTTTGGAGATGCGATCTTTCGTCTCCTAGTTACGAGGCTCCACCAGCCTTTCTCTCTCCAGAGTGCGATTGGGACGGTGTTTGAATCTCTGCCTGTCCTACGTACATGTACATATCATACCTGCTCATTCTCGGAGAAAGTCACCGATGTTTTTGGCTCATCCCGCTGTTTCCATGCTCCTCTCTGCGCGATGTCCCAATCCGCCTGGAAACAAAATGGGTACTCCACACCGGGAGCGTAGGGCGAAGGGCAAGATTTATTTGGTGGCCAGCTTCATTGAGAGAAGAACACAGAGAGAGCCGGGGAACCCTATTTCGGACGCATTGTCTACTTGACAAGTCTTACCGGTCCCCAAAACGTGGAGTTGATACCTTTACTCGTTGTGTGCAGCTTTTGTGTGAGGTTCCAGTGAATATAACTAACATTGGAAATTTTGAGGGAGAGATATTCAGGCCGCGCATGTATTGACATAAGAGAAGCAGATGCACATACCAGAACTGTTAACTTCATGTCAAGAGAGGATATGCGAGCTCTAGGTCCCTAAAGCCGTCTACTGTCGAAACTTCGAAGTCGTAAGACTGGAAAAAACGAGCATTGATCATTCATGAGTCAACTTGAAAGAAGGAGAAGGAGAAGAAAGCGTCAGCAGGATTGAAGACTTGAGCTGCTAACATCAGACCTCAGTGAAGTGAAAGACCCCATTAGATCCTCTTTGCTGTCTACTGGGTCAAGGTATACCACTAGTAGTCCGTCTGGGCCGCTCTGGGGCACATCAATTCCTTGTGATCTGGCCATGTTCATCAATATCTGGCTCTATTCAGACCTGATTTTGAGCCTTCTCTAGTCAGCAGGTACTTGCAGGGGAACCCTCCAAGTATACAGCTTGTACAATTATTGGACTGACCTTTTGCCTTCTAGTCGCAATACTTTTGGGAGCTTGATTCTTCAGGGATTATAGCCACTGGGCTAGCAAGTTTCATGGCTGCTGAGAGACGTGATGGTATCGGTATATGCCAGATTAACCACCCAAGCTGTTCCTAGGAAGCAGAATGGAATGTGCGTGATGTGTCCCATACAAACTGATGGGGGGGAAACTGCAACTGAGATCTCAATGTCACCATAACGGCACAGGATTGAAAACTCCTCAGCCATGTGGTGTCTGTTTGGCGGTCTGCATATGTTCGTGTATAAATCTCATCTGGCAAAAAGATGACGCGGGGTGTTAACCATTGTGCCAAAAGGATTAAACCTTAGTAAGGGTAACCCATCTTAAGATATTCTATAGGGACGGGAGGAAGGGCCAGATGAAACTTGAGTTTGCTGTTTCATATCTCTAGTTATCCTGGATGGTTAATTGAACAGCGGATGTATTACAGTGAGCACATCATTCTTCATGTCTGAATGCAAGGATTAAGTAGGTCTTTTTGCGTTGCTGACGTATACAACATCATATTACTTTGTAGTTTCGAGCACAGAAACTGAACTGCTCATGAATGTCTGAAGCAGTTCCACAGCTTAATATTTGTAACTGAGGACGAACCTAGAACAGCTGAAATGTGCTGGCTACTTCCCGTCCATGTCAAATTGAGAACGTTCCCGGAAATTCTGGCTTTATAGATCGTCTTAATGCTACTCCTTTTAGACTCGATTTGGTTATACCTGGAATCAACCACCCCGGCAGAAGCACGAGTATATTCAAGTTTTTATATTTTAAATACATTTTATTTGCTGTTGGGTCCTTTCTTTTCGACGGCCGATCCGTCTTCTCGTCGAGCTATAGATTTCGAGTTTACCTAAGATATTTCTGGCATGTAGCCTTTAGCTGGCTCTAGTAAGCCGAGAAATCCTTTACCATAGCAATGGCGAAGATATCTTTATTGAAGTATAGAAGAATATCTGTCTCTTTCCCTTCGCAAAGATTCTTTGCCCACTGGAGCTTGTGGCCTACAATTGTCCACCCCAAATGTAGACTGGAAAAAGGTAAGCCTGGACATCGGAAAAATATCACGGGCAATATCATTGTTGAACCCTGTCAAGTGATGTCCCAGCAGATAAGAGCTGCAGTAGTAGTGAAGGAAATATAAATTTCCGGTAAGAACACGCATCATAGGGGATAGAAAGCGAGATTGCCACCGCTAAGCCAGTTGCGGTCCCTATTATTGATCAGGGTCACGAACTAGTTCAACTTGATGCACATGTACTGTACATGTACATGATCGAGCTCGTAAATAATGCTTCGGCAGCAATCAATTGTTGGATGGGGATAGCTGTCGAATGTACTATACGAGCGGATTTGTCAGCTCTACTTACCCAAGAATAGTTATAATATATTTACCTAACAACCAATAATCCCTGCATACTAGAGGCTTCAAACGGACAAATGTTGCAAACAGAGAATTATTGGCAGCGAGGGAACCAGCCAATGCTGCTGCATCTACAGTCTGTAGTTCGTGATTAAATGGTTGAAGAATATTTTCTGGGGTCTGATTAACGATTTAGAATGTTCGACGCGGGTATGTGCAACCACGGGAGGCGCAGATGAGTCGATGCTAGTCCATCGGAGCTCCGAAACTCCTCGTCTAACAAAGGAGTGTATCGCTCCATTCCTGCAAAAAGAATGGAATGCATGTAAGAAAATAGTGCGCAGACTGAGGGAACGATCGAGTTCAATAATTGTGGCTTAAAAAGAAGAAAAAGAATATTAAACTGTCCGAGAACAGTGTTACGATCTGCAACCTGAGCCAATAATAATTGTATTGTTTGGAAACGGATTGAGCAAGCGCGGGAGGACGAAGGCAAGGAGAAAAGGAGAGAGGGGGGGTAGAGACCACTATATTATTCGTCATTCCACCAGTATTCATGGGTGATGATACACCAGTCCCTTCAGTTTTGATGCGCTTCATCGCCTCGCGAGACATGTCCGATGATCAGGACCGGAAGGTAATCCGCCTGCCGGGAGAGACACCTGCCCCGCTGGTTTTCGGTCAAGCAGGTTGGTTAGGGACTGGAAACTAGAAAGTGGCGAAGAAAGACGAAAAATGAGAAAAGATTCACACAAGATTGGCAGATATATCCGCCGAGCGGAGGGTGATCTGCTCGAGATTTCAGAGAAGTTCCACAGGAAATAGTAATGGGAACCGGCAACTTGTTCCTTCTGCAGAAGGGAATGACCTTTCCTCATTAGTGAAGGATTGTCTGCAGAGAACCAAAGCGCGCTCAGTCTTCTCTTCCTGAGAGGAATAACCGCGACTGGAGACACAAATCATTTGCATTGAAAGTGATACATGTGAAGTTGAGTACTCCGTACTCTGTAGACTTTCAGGTGGTCGAGACGGATAGCAATACTTTGGCGCCATACTTTCGGAAGTAAACTCCCGTGAAATGGTTTGACTAGTATTGGTAGGGTATCCCCTCAACTGCAGGCGACGACACAATTAGCGTCGTGCCTTACTGCCTTGATATGGCCAATAGGAAAGCTGAATTAGAGGCTTCCAGCCAATAAGCAGTCTTCCAGCCAATAAGCAGTCTTCCAGCCAATAAGCAGTCATCAATTGGGTTGGCAGAAAATTACACTAATTGTGTCGTCGTCTCCAGACGAGGGGATATAGATCGATGCTTTGCACGACGAAAGAAAATCCTCAACCCAACGCGTGAGTTATTTAAGAGAGATATAATAAAAAAAAAGCATGGGACCGCTCAATTGGAGCCACTTCTCACTGGGTGTATCGAATTCCATGAATAATAAGTCAACGGATTTGTTCAGGGGAGTGAAAACGACCAGGATTGAGCCGCGATGCCGCAATCCTAGCATCAACCCATGTCCAGGCAACTCGCAATCTTTGTTTCAGAGTCGCTACTGCATGGTTCCAACCGGAGGCAGCCGCAGACGCGGGGATTATACGGACCGGACGCGAGAGCGAGCGGTTTTGGTTTCATGATGCAGCCTGATTGGATTGTCAGGCTGAAAATTTTCCCGGCCATATAAGTAGAGCGTTATGCCGTAGAGAGAGTTAACGGGCACTTCGTCTCTCATTTATTTTCACAGTTCTCAGGATGACCACTCTCACGCAGCGTTTGAACATGGCAGGGTTATAAGTGGTGCTGTCGCTAGGTCCTTAAGTTCAGCTGACTGAAAATGAAAATTGTAAACAATCAGAATTTTTATTTTCCTGTGGTTCAGCCATTTGGAAGTGGTGTAGGTTTTAAAAATGGAAGATGACGAAGCAAGCAGTATAAATTCGAAAGCAAACCATAATAGAAAGCGAGCGAGTAAGCAGAAATATTTGGAGCTATGGAGCTTTCTAAGGTGTTTTGAGCAATCACCGCCAATGGGGCAATCATTCCTGTGTGAAGAATCATTTTGTTTGCTGGTCGTTTCCGTTCCACCGCACCCCTCATAAAATCGAAAACATCAGAAAAGCCCTGAGCTGATGAGTGGACGCTGGTTTGGAAGCCACAGGACACAGGATGTGAATGGATGAACTCCACCCCAATGCCCGTGTCTTCGGATTACGGGTTATAAGAAACCCGATAATTCGAAGCAGAAAGGTGGCGTTCAAAGCGGAAGATCATCACAGAAATTTTGCATCCGTTCCTCAAGGAAAGAGTGTCAGCTCTAACTAAAATTCCTCAACAGCGGGTGTTAGTTAACGTCTTTTCTTGGCTGGCTTGGTCGAATTATGGGCCAAGATTGCAGGAGGGGCTCAGCTGGCTCACAATGCGTTCTGAAACGCTGAACCGTGCCAAAGGAGCCAGCTCTCTGAAAATCTTCAACGGTTTGGTCATCGAGGCGTGGAGACTCAGGTCGGACCAGCTAAATAGCGTCAATTTTTCGGCAATATCCTCAGTCACCTTTTCGCATCCTGTTGTCAGAAGTGCAAGCTCTGCTTTTCTTTTTTGTCGTCTGCGCTTCTCTTTTGCCATATTCGCATGTTTTCATATTGTCATTCCAAATTCCTTCCATCGCGGGGCTTGCCTGGGTAATAATAACAATGGCAAACGGATTTTGCCGAGATTCTTGTCTGCCATACAGTAAAATTACTGGTAGGTAGGTCGTGAAAGGCGAGGCAAAGAGTGTGACAATTTCATTGGCTTGACGATCATGAGTGCATGAATACGATTGTCGTTGAATAATTGGTGGTAAATAATTTGCAGGAGATGTTCTCTGATAATCTGCTAGGTCTCGACACACCATGCGAATAAGGCGAAGTGAAGAAAGTTTCACGGGATGATAACTGTAATAATGAGTTGTTTATTAGTTGTAAATAGGTGACACGGTGAAGCGAGATCCTACAAGGAAATATTGTTTTAACCTCCATCATGCCGCTTAGGACCCCATGCAATGGGCAAGACAAGAGTCATATACCCATAATGGAATGGTGAAACGCGATTCACGAATTTCCTCTATCCTACATAAAACCCACATGGGGACGAGCCGACACACCGTCCCGTCGCCATTTATTCGGGATAGCCATCTGATTGGGTAACGGACGCTTGTTCTCATGCTGATAGGTTTTTCTGATAAAGATTCCCAATCGACCCTTGAAAAAGTTCTTGGCTGCTTCCAGGGCTGGATTAGCGGGCCGGAAGGCTAATGCAGCTAAGATCATAGTACGCTGTTCGGCCAATTACTGCCCGTATTTGCAGACAATGGTGCAATGGATAATTTGATAATTTGATAATTGGGCGGTGGCTTGATGGCGAACCTTAAGCCGCCAGCAGCAGCCCATCCCACCCAGGTTCGATGGCTGAACGTTCCACGGTTTGTTTCCGCGTGCGCCAGACCTGGGAGATCTGTAGGTTCAGTAGGTTCAGTAGTCGGAGTAATAGTCGTAAATCCTGCAAGAACTTGATGTCAATATAGGAAACGTAGGACAACAGGATGAGGAGGAGGAGGAGGGCAGGCATCTATATCTAATCACAGACTGATCGCCAATAGCAGTAGCTGAGAATTGCCATTCAGCCACCTTCCACCCTTTGCACGACCCTGAGCCGCCTCGCAGACTGGGGAATGTGCATGGCTGCGAGTCTGAGATGGATGCTGGATGCTGGATGCTGGATGGAACTAGCCGGCCTCCTGTTTGCCCATGCGCGGCTAGCACTGACTAGTGGACATTGGACAGCAAACCCGCCGAAACAACGACAACTCATTATTGCATTTCTTCCCTGACAATCATCACACAGCCTTCTCCCAACAACAACAACAATAACAGCGACTCCTCTACCATTCTTTCTCGCCAATTCACCGCGTCGTTGTGGAGGCCGGTGCTGCGTGAATGGCCTTGTGTTGCGCGATAGTATAGTCAGTCGTGGCCTTTCCCCCTCACATCTCACTCACCCTTAATCTCCATCGCGATCCAAGCCCAAAGAAACTCCTCAGTGAGCGCTGCGTTTCTCTCAAGCAATAGCCCCTCACACAACGTCAAAACCGGTTTCAATCGACAATTCAACGGCCATTAACCCATCGCATATTTCGTCCCACGTCACTTGAACTCTGCAAAACCCTCGCTCTCGGACAGGTCCCCGTTTGTTTCCCCTGCGCTACTCTTTCGCCGCTGTATGGCGGACATATAAAGAGCACAGAGCACAGAGCACAAGGCTAGACCTCCAGCTGTCAACTGCATCATACTTCCTTCGGGTTATTCGGGCCCGTTTTGCCTGGTCGTACTATTTTCAGCGGGGCATTGGAGCCGCGGGAGGAGGCGCATTGTCGTACCAAACGGCACTTGGTTACCCCACGAGTAGATACTGCCATACGGTTCTTGTGCCACCGGGATTCTGCGTTATTATTCGTTCCCGATATCTTCAAGAATCTCATATCTGCTGACTTATTACCGGTATGTGCTCCCATTCTTCGGCTTCCCGCACACGCTTAGCCACGGGGGCCAGAATGCGACAATGTTTGGCTTCCCCGTGCTCACGCGTGGGCTGGTGGTTTTACCCTAAACCTAGCATGCTGATCGAATTGTGGTATGGATAGACGGCGATTATTAAAGATTGTATTAATTCGGTATGTATGGGCCAATGTATAACTCTATTCGCGATGCCTGGATGTTTTACTTCCTTATGTCAACCCACTCCGGACCACCTCTTCTTCCGATTGTAAAGGGATCTATAAAACCTATAAAATGAGGAGGCCGCCGATACACCCCTCCCCTGCGAGGAGAATGACTGCCCCTGATGCTTGTCGATTTGGACCCTGGATGGGGACTTGGTTCCATTTCTTCATTATATCAGCTAATCACCCTACGTTTATATTGAAAGGTTCACGCATTCGCATACAAACCATGGGTTGCGCAAGCTCTACCCCTGTCGATCCACAGGACAGGATAGCAGCTAGGCAAACAGCTACAATCGATAAGATGATCCGGATGGACAAAAAGGTCCAAGATCGGACAGTGAAGATTCTCCTGCTCGGTATGTCAAACAAAATCCCATTGTCACCGAGTGTAATTTTATATGTCTGCATAATTATTAGCAGAGCGGTCATGTTTTGATATTTCTAATTTTAGGCGCCGGTGAATCTGGCAAGTCGACCATTATTAAACAAATGCGAATTATCCATGCCGGCGGTTTCCCAGAAGATGAACGACGACAAACCCGCGCCGTCATTTACTCTAACTTGGTGGTGGCATTCAAGGTCCTGCTGGATATCATGCGGACGGAGAACATTGACTTCGAGCACGAAGCCACAATGGTATGTGCCTTAACTTGGATTTTAGTTGCTTAGAAACCACCACTGTCGGCCCTTACTCACATGGACGTCTTGTAGCCACAAGCCCAACTATTAGACTCAACAGAGCCGGATGTAGATTCGGACGAGGCTTTCAGCGACCTCGCCATCAAGGATGCTATGCAGGGAATGTGGCAGGATAAAGGCGTACAACAAGCTGTGTCACGAGGACACGAATTTGCACTTCATGATAATCTTCAATAGTGAGCATATCCAAGGCCTTGGGCATGGCAGCTATCAAAAGGACGGGGGGGAAGATTCCAAACGCTAACAATTCCACAGCTATTTCAAATCTCTCGATCGCGTGTTTACCCCCGGATGGCTACCCGACAATCAAGATATGCTTCATTCCCGACTCCGAACCACTGGTATCACAGAAACCTTATTCGAATTGGGTCAAATAAATTTCCGAATGATGGACGTTGGCGGACAACGGTCAGAACGAAAAAAGTGGATTCATTGCTTCGAAGGAGTGCAATGTCTCTTGTTCATGGTTGCCATGTCAGGTTATGACCAATGTCTTGTTGAAGATCAGAATGCGGTACGTCTAAAACATTCCGTCGTAATCGATGCATGCGCGAACTAACAGAATTGATGTGCTGCAATGTAGAACCAAATGCACGAAGCTATGATGCTTTTCGAATCCTTGGTAAACGGGGAGTGGTTCAAACGGAAACCAGTAATTCTATTCCTCAACAAAATTGATCTCTTCAAGGAAAAGATTGCGATATCTCCAGTCTCGAAACATTTCCCCGACTACCAAGGTCCGGAAGGCAGTTATGAGCCAGCCATCAAGTTCTTTGCCGAACGATTCCGCGGCATCACCCGCGTCCCTGAACGGGAAATTTATATCCACCGCACGAACGCAACGGACACCACCCTTCTAAAAGCCACGATGGATTCCGTGCAAGACATGATTATCCAGAAGAACCTTAACAACCTGATTTTGTAGGTGCACAATTAAACATAAAGTCTACAGCACCATCTCTACACAGATACATCATCTTCCTTCACGGGACAGACAATAGAGTCTTGAAAAATCACTCTGAGTCCGATATCCCCCTCATCCCCCTTGCTCCTCCCTTTCCCCACCTATCCAATTTTCCTCTTCTCAAATCTACATCCTTATTAACAATTCTTCTTCGTTACCAACGAAATGGATTCTGACTTTTTCGGTTGTCTCTACAGTATTGGCAAATGACCCACTGACTAATACCCATATTCCTACGTAGGCTCTAACAAAATCTGGATCATTTGTTATGATTGCCTTCACAAAGATTTGCTTTTTTGTCTTTATTCTTGTACTTTCTACAACCAACAAGGTCGAACGCATGTAACTACACTCTTCAGACCCATGTATATTTTCCTTGCTAGCTGTTCTATATCTTCGCTTTTCTGGGGTTTTTTTTTTTTTTCCTCGTCTTCATACCATTCTACGTTATACCTTATTCCCCTCTACATATTTCTACGTTATTCCTCTCTACTTATCGTTTCTTCTCTTTATTATTTTCTGACTCTGGGCATATGCGCTACAGTGCGCTCTTATTTCCCCTCGGCTTTGACAACTGAATAGCCCCGACGATTATGTTTTTTTATTCTTTTTTTTCTTTAGCGGATGGCATTTTCCTCTGCTCTTCGCATGTTCTTACACAACTATTTTTCTTCCTTCACGAACCCTTAACTGGGCATGAGATACCTGGGAAATGACCTGGCTACGGCCTTGAATTTCTGTTCCATATTCGGCTTTATATTCTCTTTTTATTAGAGGGATTTCATCATGTTTTACCTATTCTTTATTTTCTTTTTTCTTTCTGTCAATTCTTTTCCTTTTCTGTACTTTTGAGCCCAAAAACCTACTGTCGGTTTTCCTTGTTCTTACCGAGGGCATGGCATAATAAGGGTATACTTTTATGTTTGTCCGTCGCTCTATTTTTCTGTTTTCCCTGGCTCTATGTACCATTATTACCCCTTCTCTCTCCCTCCCAGCGACTAGTTTGTTGGCAAGTTACCCCCATCTCACCTCTTCCGCATTGCTGAGTACAGAACCAGGACATCTTAACGATGGCGCGATATATAATATTAAACGGCAGACGACGTCGAAACTCCTCGAATTGCGATTTGGTCCTCGAGAGCAGGCTGCATGGCGTGTTTGTTTTTTTTTTTTTACATCTCCACTGTCCGCTCCCTCCCGCTTTTGCCCTCCCAATGTTATTTTTCGTACATGTGAATTATCACATACATAAGCACACTTACACTTTATGGTTTACTATATATAAAAAGTGATATGGGGAACTACACAATTTCATCTACTCTTCAGATATTCCAGGTCAAAAAGAAAAGAAAAGAAAAAAAGAAAAATTAGATTATGTAATGGTGGCAATTCTGCGCTTGTCCCGGTTAGGAATAAAACTCTAAAGGGCTTTTGCTCTTTCACTCTTTCAACATCCAACCTTCACATCCGGAACAACGCTCCAGCAGCATTCCATTCTCTCCTCTCTCTCTTCGTCCTCCCTCCTCCATTTAACTGCGCACTCGCACAAGAGTTTCTCTTTACTAAGCTCGTGCGACTGCATTTCAAGATACCAGCCATGTTCTCGTCGTCGGCTCGCTTCGTCGCTCGATCGAACCCGGCCATCTCTCTCCCGGTTCCGGCTCGTGCCTCCACCGCCGTGATCGTCACTGCAACAGGTGGCCTGTCGAGTCCCCGTAGCCAGCAACGTCGATACTCATCTTCGAAGCCTCCCGTTCCCCCAAGCGACGGCTCCCGGGGCATCGATGCTTCGTCACAGTCTCCCACCAAGAGCGTGAACCCGTCGAGCAAGGAGGGTGCCGAGAAGCGCGAGGGGAAAACGGCGAAACGACGAGGTGGCAAAGATAGCAGCAATGTCTCCGCCAAATCGAAGAATAATGAGCCCTTCCTAAACCTCCCCAGCGTGCCCTCTACACAGCATCTTCATCCTCATGGTTAGTTTGTGACTCAACTCTGCGAGCGTTCATCTTCTTTTGCCGCCCTCCGAGCTCCAACATTGTGTCACGTGGTTTTCCATTTGAGCGATGACACAATTTTAATGGAAAATGGGCTTTTTGGCTAATATCTTGCTGCAGATATCCATGTTGCATCCTTCTTCTCAGCGCATCGACCGATATCCGTCACAACCTCCGTACCATCGAATTCCAACCCAGACGCCTTTAACGCCATTTTCTCATCGAAAAAACCGTCCAAGCCTCGTCCCAACGATGTCATATATACTCTCTCCTCAGCAGTTAATTCTATTGAAGGGGTATTACCCAGTACCCAATCCAGTCAATCTATAGGAAACAACAATTTAAGAAATGCTATCTCCCAGGGATCTGCCAAAACCGTCGAACCCGACCACCTAAGCAACGCCGATGACCTCCCAATCGAAGACCTCCGTATCTCCATCCAGGACTTCGCGAAGAAGCTCCGGCCTTTCAACCCCCCGCCACCCCCAGTTCCCATGGAAAATTTCGGCGAACAGGATAGCGCTACAGAAGCCGAAGCTGCTGAAGCCGCCGAATCGGAACTCCATGAAGGCGTGAGGGAACAAAGCTACTCCACCATCCTCACGATCACCGAATCCACACATGGTGACGGCCGCAAGACCTACGAAGCTCATAGCTCCCCCCTTGTCCGAATTGATAACAAGGACGCTCCGTCATCCTCCAACTATGAGGGTGAAAAAGTGATCCAAGACGAGGGGGGCTCGTTTTCGATATCAGAGCCGGAGATGGATCATCACCGACAACAACATCGCGTGCCGCGCTTGATGGGGCGGAGAGTCTACTACGCCATCAGCGTCAAGAGGCAGCGTAAGCTGAAGATGAAGAAACATAAACACAAGAAACTGATGCGGAGAACGAGGATGTTGAGACGGAAATTGGAAAAAGCTTAAAGGACCCTTTTGTTTTAGTATCAGTTTTTATGATTGCCCTAGTTTCCTAGTTTCTTGGCTTCTGTTACCATTTTGTATCTGTTTTCCGGTCATTAATGGGGATTTTCTAATTTGAACTTCTCCCTGGTTTATCTGGGCTTCTCTCCGCTGTTTCTCTCTCCCTTCCTCTCTCCGCGCTGTTCGAGTCATTTCTCTCCCCTTTCTGTTCCGCCATCCGTGTTTGTGGCGTAGCATCTGTGTTTAGGCTTCCATATTCTTTTTTTTTTTTGTCTTTTTCATTGTTCCGACTGCCTTAGCTCTATGCCTTTGACTTAAACATATATACATATACAATCCATGTCTGTCCTTCTAAACCATAACTTGACGGGCTTTCTGCTACCTACTCAAGGCTATACTATACATACATGAATCAATATCATTCTCGACTTTTTGTTATTGACATTTCTATTTACTTTTGCCGGGTTTGTATTCTTTTTTACTTTGTCATTTTCCCTTTCTTCCGCTCTGGGGGTTCTCTGATCTACGTGGTGGTGTATGTTCTTAGTATTCTCCAATCTTGATGGTTCAAGGGCTATCAGGGTAAGATCATATGTTTTGTTTCCTTCTCCTGGAGCCTTCTCTTTTCTATTGTGTGGGTACGCGCTCTTCAGAGGCCTGCATGCCATGATAAAAAGCATTCGATATACGGAATAGAAAAAGGACAAGCCAAAAAAAAAAAAAAAAAAAAAAAAAAAAAAAAAAAAAAAAAACCCGCTCATGATGGGATAGAAACGAGAGAAATTCCATCCTACAAAGATAAGACGGCTTATTGAATGAAACCAACGTTATGAGTATAAAATTGTGCTTGTTACAGAACTATCCATATCTCCATTAATCAATATATCCTTTACAATAAGCATAGTTACTTGTACTATTTCACACCAACTATTCTATGGATTTGCGACAAGGTAGACCTGCTTGCTACATGTAATCGCGCCCTCGGAGAATAATGTCACTCGCTCTGCACATAAAACTGCATCCATCCACCAACAAATCCATCTCTTGAAAACACAAATAAGGCCGACATGAAGAAATAAAGCAGCAAATGAATGGTAAAGATGATAAATAACCGAGAAATAAATAAACCATACAGAAAACGAGTACATATAACAAAAGAGGAGAAGAAGGCAATAAAAAGTGAGAGAATAGGATTCAAATATATTCACTGAGCTGCCAAAATGACCCAAGGACCCAAGGACATCATGTCCTCATGGCCTTATATCCCGCATCCAGCAACTCTCCAGCCCCCTCCACTACTCTGGAAATGCAAAAACATAGTTACCGTGGGGGAAATAAAAGGGGGAAAACAGAGACAAAGAAGTAAACAGGAAAAAGGGAAAAGATACGGGAATACAAGGATGCGTCCATTGTAAGCCCGCGTCTGTAGCTCTAAAAGTCAAAACAGGAAACCGGAACTAGGAAACCGATGCTTCATTCCCTCCACACGTTGCCATCTTAAAAAACAAATAATTGATAATCCTACCCTGTCCTTCCGCTTCCCCTCCGCATAAAATAAATCCATTCGAAAAAGATGAAGACAAAAAAAAAATGATATGTAAGATATACAATTACATGTTTCAGTTTTCCACATCCATCCCCTCACCATCGTTCACGAAAACCTGACGAACGAGCCAAGCCAGACAAAATATGTAGATGTATAATATTGTCCCATAAATACGGACACAAACAGACAAGACAGACAGTCAAAACTGAGCTAGCACTTCCCGAAGCTTCGGGTGAAAATGAAAAATGCAAGATCACATAAACAGAAAACAGGAATAACCGCAGACCGGGGTGGGGGGTGGGGTATGGTGGAAATAAACATAAAGCATGTGGTGTTGCAAGGACGATAAAAGAAGAGTATGATATGGTAGAAGATATTGGAGTGTTTTATTGATTTCTCGGATGTGGTTGATTGTTATGATTGATTGTGGTTGATGATATATGTATCCAAACTTTGGTTGTCATGAACTTTTCGATTAGATGCGATAATCCCGGGTTGGTCTGGACTCCCTTGAACACAAGGTAGTTTGTTCATGAGGAGGGCCAGTTCCCAGGCTGTTTTAAAGTTGGCGGTTGATGGGGGTGTTGTTGAAGAGTTTAACAAACAGCATCGAGATTGGCGCGGGAGTTCATCAGGAGAGCTACGATGAGACCGTACAGACCTGTGTTGAATTGCATATTGTTAGGATCACGAATGATATATTTAAGGATTCATCGTTGAGGTCAAGAAATAGCAGGAGTGGGGAAGATACGATAGCAGAGGGAAGTAAGGAAAGGAAGGAGATAACACACCCAAAACTTCAGCGAAAATGAGAATCAAGATCATGGCGACGAAGAGTCTGTTTTGTTGAGCTGTTCCTCTGATACCCGCATCTCCGACGATTCCAATCGCAAAGCTATATCATATTGGAGGAAGAGGGGAATTTGTTAGCCTTAGCTATTCAAGTCTCCCCTAGATAAGTCTTAATTCGGATTGGAAAACATACCCAGCAGCCAAACCAGCTAAACCAACGGACAACCCAGCACCCAGCTGAATGAATCCAGTGTATAGTGGGAGATTTGGCCTTAGATCATTGGCAATGAGAACTGATACGACCAATCCGTAAATACCAATGATACCAGCCATGACAATGGGGACGATATCTGTTTGTTTCCACCGCAGAAGCATTAGTCTTTTTAAGCTCTGTGTATGCATATATATAAAAAGAGACATTTGGATAACGAAATCTTACTTTTAACAATCAGATCGGGCCGCAGGACAGAAGTTGCGCAGACACCGACGCCCGCTTTGGCGGTGCCATAGGCAGCACCGAAACATGTGAAGACGATGGCGGACGTGCAGCCCAGAACACCGAAGAAGGGCTAATTCGGGTTGTGAGTTTCCGGAGTCTACCGTTAGTACTTTGCTGCAAGATATGAAACAGGGCATGGGTGCGTGGCTACGGAGGAGGAGAGGATATCCCAACGCAAAGCCGCTCCGCGTCATGCAAAGCTATATGACAGTACGGTCGGAACGGGGTTTTTTTGACATACCGCGTAGACGGGGCTAGAGGTGGAAGGATAACGTTAGCGTCATGGTCTATAGGAAGTAAGATCTCTTAAAGGTTTTCAAAGGTACGTGGTTGGAGGACAGCTTACCAGAGATCTGTAGGCATTTTGGAGGTGGCAGGGGTTGAACGGAGCGAGTTCTCCCGGTTAGATATTAATAGCGGAGAGTCCGGTTTGATATGGGAGTCTCGTAGTAGAGATGGGGAGACGGGTGGGAGGAAGACGGTGGTGAGTGTCGAGGGTTGAGCTGGAGGTTGTTGCGGTTGGACTGGGTGAGGTTGGAAGGTTGAAGCCAAGGTTGAGAGAGCGCGCACTTGGCCAGGGCTGGCGGGAGCTGCCTGGAACGGCTTAGCGTTGTTGTCACGGGATATCCGTCACCTGATCCATTGATTGCTACCTAGGTACCTAGGTACGGAGTAGGTACTAATACTCCGTACTATATCAGATATCCATTCAGAATCTATTTATTATTTTTGATAGGTTGTAGTATATGTACATGTACAGATCGTCACTTCTATGATATCGTACACAAAAGGGTCTAGGCTTCCCTTTACTCAACAGATTTCAATCATGATTCTCGACCCAGGGACATCGATTTTAGTCCCATGCACCAGTTGCCCAGGACCTACTCTATCGTTCCCATTCTCAGACACCATTTCATTAAATATAGAATAAACCAAACTTTTCTCTGACAGCGCTCCAAAATAATTCGGTACAGTGACTATTCCACCGTCACCGTCACCATCGCCACCAGACACAGAGGCTTGATCAGTATCAGTATCAGACATCTCCTCTCCATACTCCGCCTCAGAAGATGGAATGACTCCAAACGATACTTGCATTGTTCGTTTCTCCTGACCGGCATCAATTGCGGGGGTCTTTTTTCCCTTCTCCGTCGCCGATGAAGAAGCCCGTAGGCTATCCAAGGGGGCCACCAAAAACTGCACCGTATCTCCCTCTTTCGCAATCTCAGAGAGATCCGTCGTGAGCCGCCCATCCTTGAACTGTATCGACCCCGGAACAGCTTCATCGAATAGGTTCGCCATCACCGCACGGTCCTCCTCGACTTCTGCTGCTGCCTCTGAACCGGGGGCCGCCTCTTCGAAGATTTCATGTACTGGCCGAACCCGACCGGAGCCCAAAGCGACGTCTCCGGCGGTTTGGTAACTATATTCCGGATCTAATGATAGAAGTCCTTGCTTTTTACCCCACCCGCCTCCTCCGCTCACTACACGGTGAAGCCTGGCACCCTCATTGATGACAACAAGTGGATCAGCAGCAGGCATGCCCGAAGCAGCGTGGGGCCCGTCCTGTGGCGAAACAGGCTGCACCAGAGCCCAAACAGCCACCCGCTGATTTTGTAGGTTATTTGCCTCAAGATACGCTGGAAGCGCTTTCTCCAGCTCTGCCGATGCGTGTATTGTTGAGCTCGATCCCTCGTCCTGGTGTCGGAGCTGACTGATGATATTTCCCATGCTTGTGGTTATTACCCGCGGCTTCGTTACTGGGCGGAGAGGCACACGTGCGGTGACTTCGTGAGGTTTCGTTGCACCGTTGATCTGGCAGCTAAGGAGATTATATTCCTTGTCTAGCGTTAGTGTGGGAGAGGTATGGCTTGAGTCTGGGTGTGAGCTATAGCGCCAGCGCGAGGCAAGCATTGTACGGGGTTTGCCGTTCAGGAAGACGGTGTTTGCCAGTCGAATGCCAACTTCCACGAATGAGGTTACTACTGGAGAATCCCTTTTCGTAGGTATTTGACGATACAGGTAGGATAATGTAGGTTCCGTTTCAGGAGTAGACATGTCACGATTTTGAAGCGACCGGGCCACCTTGGCCGTCAGAGCATCTCCGTCCGCGAGAAAGAGAGATATACCTTCATACTCGTGTTGCCCAGCTAGTTTATCTCCGCATTTTTTCCCTTCGCGTAAAATTGAAATTGTGCTAGGAACGGGTAGTTTATCTACGACCGCTACCACGGAATAGACAAAGCTAGCGTGTCCGCCAGAAATGTTGGGTCGCGTGTTTTGGAAAAGGTGCGTTATCGATTCGCGTAGGAAGGAATGGGGGTTCACTACCCAAGAAGCAAACGCGGGGGTCACGAGTAAGATAGGGACAGTGTGAGAGATGTCGTCGCTCTGTGGAAGGCTTGGTAGTTTCGACATCACATCCGAGGGCATCTGCATCCGTTACCGAAGTAAACTGTTAATGTATGTACGACAACTTAAAGTTCGAAAGGAAACGGCAAACTGCGTAGCTCAGCCCAATTGGAGAAACAGAGCAAATCAAAATGCACAACTCACCACCCGCGTTGGATCCTTTATAAACCAAGTAGCGCTTCTAGCACCCGGTGTCGTCTTCACCCGTGCCCCGGAGCTTGAACACAGACCCTGTGTCCATTGGAGCGGATACCCATCATACCCATGCCCATACCCGAAACCACCAGCATAAGCACCATTATTCGCCTTCAACCGTCTCCCATTTCCCTTCCCCGTCGCCAGCTTGCCGCTGCCGCTGCTATAGCTCCGGTGCACCCATAACCCCGAGAGCGAAACCGCTGCTGTTCCCTGACCGGTAGACCCCAGCAAGCAACCACTGGCCAGGAGCCGCGTCACACCTTGGCCGGCGAAGCATTGGTGGAGTGGTGACATGTAAGAAGGGGCATGGAGGGGTCGATGCGGGGTGATTGATTGTTGGGAAGAGAAGCAAGCTGGATGATTTGGCGCCAGATGAGATGCATTAGCATCAACAAACATATCTTGGTTCAACAAATTAACTCGCCAAGCTCAGCCGAGCCCTCATTGGTTCCTGCTGCTTCGCGTTGGTTTGCTGAGTTTGCTCAGTTTGTATAGCCCAGTCTCACGCGTATTATTAGTTAACTAGTCATTTATTTATTATTATCAAGCTAAGCCCTAGTTACTAACTACGCCTTATGCAATGTGGCTTGGGAGATTCAATCCAAACCCAACCCATCCAATCACTTGCTGATTACACATCGGGTTGGGCTGGGGGCTATGCCCCATTGTGATTGGCGCCTAACATCAGGGCTAACTAAGCCCGTGCTGTAATGATTTCCTAGTATTTATTTCTATTTGATGAGATAACTATATCCGCCGTTCATTGGGATTTGTCTGTTCTTTCTCAGTTTTCAATTTTCTTTTCTCTTTTTTGAGGAAAACTGCAAAAAAGTTGCGCTGAACGATGATCGAGATCTTGAGGCCTGGATAAGGGAAGAGTGTGGTCAGGGGGCTATCTGCCTTAGTATGTATGTCTTTCATTAACTGCACAGCCGTGATCATTCTCTAGCAACACAGAACAATATATAGATACGTCAAGTGACTAACTGGCAGTCCCGAAAACGAAAATGAAACAAAGAGACGCTGTCGGAACATTCGAACATCCCGTTCGGGATCTCCTCCTGCTACTTCGGCATTCCTAGGGCCCAATTCAGAATCCCGAAAAAATCGCTCGCCCTGGGCAGAAGTGCTCGCTCGGCCGTGACTAGGGCAGCCGAACGATGACGTCACCGGCTCGGCACTGCCAAAAGGGATAAAAAGTTAGCCACAATTATACGCACTCACTCGTACCAGCCTTGCCACTCACTGGGTCACTGCTCAGATGAACCCTGGTGTGGCGGCACTATGACGTTGCCTGCGCTAAAAATACATCATATCATCCAGTGTCTTGTTCTGCAGATAGTTATGTCACTGTAAGGCTAAATGCACTATAGATTTAGTTATACATAGACGGTCAATAAGGAGACCACCACGAGAAGAATTAAGAGTGGAGGCATATTCTTTTTTTGATCCAACTGTTTCTACAGAGTAGTTACCCCATACAGATTTATTCAGAATCAGACCAGCAGCTTGTGTGGCGTGCCGGCTGCGGCGCAGCGGTTATGTACCGTACCGTGCGAATTGGACTGCTTAACCCCGTAGCAACAGAAACTAAGAATTATCATCTCCACTCCTCATGACGAGGCTTTGCAGGGCTGCAGATCTACAGTGTAGGAGAAGAAAATCCGTTCTGTATTTGTCCAATCCAGGCCAAGCTGGAAAAAAACAAAACTAATGTTGCTTCGGAATGACGACGATGTTTTGTCACAATAATAACTAATCAGCTGGTAGCTGCCATGATACATAATGCATAATGGCAATAGTTAAGTTCATAATAATAATTATCATAATATTCACTGCGGTGTCTTTGTTTTCTGGGCCCGGATTTTCCATTCCCAGCTTTTTTTTTCTAGTCTTTATTTTTTCCCGGGGAGTATTTAAATAACCTTACTTCTCCCCCTCCTTTGTTTGCCTTTTTCTTTCTTGCCTCTTTTCTTCCTCCCTTCCCCAACGTCATTCCTGCTTCCCATCAACCACCAAAACAAACAAATAGATATTTAATATTTAATCCCACAAACCCGACCTATAAATAAATCCATCAAGACCCTATACATATATATAACAGCTCGAATTACTATTCTCCGCCCTTTTATCCCTCCCAACACGCCGTCGCCATGGCTTTCACCGCATCGTGAGTATCTCCCCGTCGCTTCCGGGACTGGCTATTTATCGCCCAACCCAGCCACAATCCCACCAATTCGAAGGAAAACGGATGAGAAATGAAATAGAAATTAAATAAATATTATAAAAAAGGGAATATTACACTTGCTAACAAACAATTCCTATCCATACAGAGATATCTGCAAAATCATCTTCGCCATCCTCCTACCACCCGTCGGTGTCTTCCTAGAACGCGGATGCGGGGCAGACTTGCTCATCAACATCTGTTTGACCGTCCTGGGCTACATCCCTGGCATCATCCATGCTCTGTACGTCATATCTCTCTTTGTTCTGTCCCCTCACCTATTGTTATTACTATCACTATTATTATTACCATCATTATTATATCTCCCAAGGCTATTCTATCTGGTATATATATATATATACATAAATATGTGTTCAAAACACCAGCTAACCTCTCCACCTCGCCGCACAGATACATCATCCTCAAATACTAGCCCTGCGATGATAAATGAACGATTAATTCAGCCTGCTGCATCTCTTTTCTTCTCTCCTGCAATTCCAGCTCCCTACCCATTTCCGCTCCGTTCCGCCTTGTTGTTCGAGAACGTTCACCTTGGTTTTTCTCAATTTTGCCACCAAACCAACCTGATACCAATGCCAATCACACCTAAAATACATACACCCATGAAGGCCCTCTCTCCGCACGCTTCCCTTAGTTGATTAAAAATAACTATATATATCCGCGCAATTCCTCATCCTTCGTCGTCGCCGGAAATCCTCACTAGCCTATCTTAGTTTCTCTCTGCCTTTTTCAAAATACGACCTGCCTTTACATGAATTTATGCGAAAAATAGAGGGAAAAAAATCATTAAATGAAGGCGGAAAGGAGGAAACCTGTTCTCCTAGTGCTTCCTAATTTCTCTATCCACGCAGCGGGAGGAGCAACGGATGGGAGGATAGGGTGCTTGATAGGAAAACCTGCCCTTTTTTCTTTTTTCTTTTTTCTTTTTTTCTTTTTTGTTCATATCATAAGTTGCATTGGCTAGTTATGGGTTCTTGAGGGGGTGGGAAGAGGAGGCGCTTTGGTTTGATCGATCCCATGTCTCTCCTTTTTGACCTGTTTAGCTTTGTTTAACGCATATATATATATTTTCCCCTTTTAACGGCCAAAACCTGTTTTTGTTGTTGTGTCTTATTATATTTTTAGTGATACCAGTTCCTCGTCCCCACCCCCCAACTCTATCCATGATTTTGTCAAGGTTTCTTCGTCATTCCTCCCTGGTTCTGCCCCGCTTTCTTCTTTTCTTTAAAATAGTTGGCCGAATTAGTCTCATCCAATCTCTCTCTCTCTTTATCCCCGGGTTTATGCGTTACATTTTGCACTTTGCGCTTCTCGCTGATTCGTATTCTCTCGCGTTCGCATTCATACTAATGCACATTTCCCTCTTTGGGTTTTTCTGGTCTGGCATAGGCTTGGGCTTTTTTGGCTTCCAAACTTTACTAGCCTGGCTTGATTGAACTAAGTTTTTGATTGTCTGGTTGATTTGATTTGCGGCATGGTGGAATGAATTGTTTAATTGTACAGTAGTGTTTTATTTTTTACATGGCAATGTGCAGAGAAGTTTTTTTAAGTAATCTTTTTATTTTTCTCTTCCTTTTCGGTTGTGCTTGTTGTGCTTCGTTGGAGAGGCGGATATATATTTTTGAAGTACTGGTTCGTGCTTTTGGTCGTGCGGTTCCTATGACCAAGCATGAGAGGTAACTTATATACATGCTCCTCCTCCGCCTCTCAGTTTTGTAATTGGGACTGATAACTAGTTATTCAACATGTTAAAAGTATTGACCTAGCAGTGCTGCCACTACTCTGTAATCGAGATTGTGTTCTTCAGGAGCGACGAACCAACCGCAGCCACCAAGCTAAATTTTGAATTTAATGCACGGAAGATCTAACCGCCAGCCACGCCGTAGAATGAAGAATTTCCAACCCCAATTCTTGCCATGTTTATGTTTCACGCCTGAGGCGCGTCGCGAAAACACGGAAGTGATGTCATCAGCGCCAGTTAGCCGCCCAACCCTCGGCCCCTGAAACGCCTTTGACCCTGGCTGGCGCCTGGCCTTGACGACCTCACAACCTCGGCGCTTAAGCAACGCAGCCCCAACCCAACCACCCCCCTCATCCAACAACCTCCCATCACGCTGCTGTGTTTGCGGCGTTTCAGCACGGCGCCTAGCTACGGAGTACTCTCTCTCCAGTATCTCCAGTCCTTCCTCCTACCACTGCCATTTCTGTCTCTGCTCGAGGCGCCGATGGAAGGGGGAAGGGGGAAGGGGGAAGGGGGAAGTGGGAAGTGGGAAGTGGGCGGTTGGCCTGGCCTGGCATGACATGACATGGCATGATATGTTAATTGCTCCATTGCTCACATCGGATCTTTTCGTATCGCTGGCCAGGGGGGTGGTCGGTTGCTTAGCGAGGTCATCCTATAGGATGGACGGAATGGAATTGGAGATGGTGGTTTGTTTGGTTTTGTGATGTGGGCGCGTCCCTCCGTTGGGCCCTGCTACCTCGTGGCTAGGCCTGGCCGGGGGATGGATGTGGTGATTATGCGTCTCACTACCTGATTACTGACTGATGACTTTCTTCTGGGTGACGTGACGGAAGGGGGGTGAGTGTGTGGACATGCCGTTTTTTGTTGGTTGGCTGGCTCTATGATTTCCGGCTCTCGTTGTTTTCGATCTTGACTCTGTTCGGGTAACAAATGACCGCCAACTCTGCTGCTACTCGAATGGATATCCACTCCCCGTTTCTGAAGAACGGTGGTGGTTGTGGTGGTGCTGTTTGCTGATGGGTTCTAAAGAGATCGCGCTCGGCGCTCGCGCGCTTCGGATTTGGATAGAGGGGGTCCATTTTATGTCTGATCCGTTGTTTATTATTATTTACTTTTTTTTATTTTATTTTTATTTTATTTTACTTCTCCGCTTCTTTTCTTCTCTTTCTTGTTTGTCCTGTTTCCCTCCCCTTGTTTCGTTTCCATTTCTGCTCGATTTCCTTTGATATAGCATTTTTCTGTGCTACTTTACTACCTTGCGTCAGCGGGTCTTTTTAAACAACAACCCTTGTATGCTCACATACGCCCCATCATTTTTACCATCTCTTTCCTTCTTGGTATTTCACGCCTATTATCTATTGGGTCTGATATTCCTCCGTGCGGAAAGCTAGCTCTTGTATCTGTGCTACTGGTTGTACTACGACGATGAGCCGATCCGGGTGAATATAGAGGGTTCGTTTCTCGACAGCTTAGGCTGACAGGAATCGGTACGTCGTATGGGAA